AACCGCGGTTGGCTACATGGGAGTTCAGCAACATAGCCATTATGCTAACTGCTGGTCCCAACGTACTTTTTTTTAATGATAATTTAATTTAATTTATTTATTCATTTTAATTTGACTAGATAAGGACACAATGAGAAAGAGAGGGCAAGAGAGAGAAAATGAGAGAGCCAGTCACCAGATCCAATTCTTGAACTGCAGTCAGCCATGTGGGAGTCCACCACACCTACCGGCCCCCAGTTAGAGTTCTTTTAAATTATCAAATTATCTAGTTGCTGTTTTTTTCCTCATGGACATTGGGACTCCTAATTATAGTAGGAGTCATAAATTAAAGGCCTTGTGAGCTGGACAGCTAATGGACTCTTGAATTGGGCTTTAGGGTGACATCAGGAACCTGGCAGACTGAAGAGCACAGGCCCTATGGAAAGAGGTAGTTGTGGCTGATTTTTTATTTTTATATTTTTAGTTTGCTATAGGGTACACATGCTCACTAGAAAGAGACAGAGAGAGTAGAAAAGTGAGAAATCACTCCCCAATGGGGATGGTCACACCACAATCACTTCTCCATTCTCCTCTTGGGATTTTGGGCACACACACACATGAACCATACATGTATTTCAAGCTGCTGAGTCTGAAACTTGAACCATGCAGTTGACATGTGTGATCCAGCACCTTAATCACCATGCTACCAGCTGGCCCTGTTTTGATTTTTCAAGTTTTTGTTTATTTTGTTGTTATTTTACAGGAGGCCTTTCAATGTTAAGATAGCAGTTATTGGGATCATAGAAAAGTTGACATGTTTTTCTATGCAAAAATGCATCATGACTTTTCCAATGACCCAGTAATTCAGACTTAAAAGAAAATATTGGGGAAGGCTTAGTATGACTCATCTGTAAACCAGCTTTTGCTTATCAGATACCATGAGGATATGGACACAGTCACATACAGGGACCGAGAGCAGAACTGCTTGAGTAGGATTCGGAGACATCATGGCAGAGTAGGTTGGGGCAGGGCTTAGAGAGCACCGCTTGAAGCAGTCTTTCCCATCTCTGCCCACTCGTGGCCTCATACACTCTGAGGCCAGTGGTGGTTCCTGCTTGCTGGCACTTCCTCTGTCTGTACAGTATCAACTCCAAAAATACCAGCTGGAGAGAACATAAGTCACTCCATTGTCAGAGGCTCTGTTGATTTCTGTCAGATAGGAATAGAAAATATTTGGTCTGGGGGTTCTAGTCTGAAAATAAAAATGTACCATTTGTTGGTTAGTTGCCAGAAAACTAAGACCGTAAAAAGTTTATGTGGTTTGGGACCAGCAGTTAGTGTAATGGCTATGTCGCTGGACTCCCATGTAGTCGACTGCTGTTCAAGTCCTGAACCTGGTGGCTTAAACTCACGCCAGGTGCACGTGCATGTGTGCCCAAGATCCCAAGGGGAGAATGGAGGAGAAGGGGTTGCGGTGTAGCCATCCCCCCTGGGGGGTGATTTCTTTCTTTCTGTCTCTGTCTCTCTCTGTCTTTCTGGCGAGCGCACACGCCCTATAGCAAAAACATCTCAAACAAAAAGTTTATGTGGTTTGAGTAGATGAAAAACAAAGTTTTTTTAATGTGTAAAACGTGTTAGTCATAAGAAGAAAAAGGCCAGAATGAGAAGGACCATAAGGCAGAATGGGTTCTGTGTCTGTGACCATGTTTCTGGAGCTCTGACCTGGTTGCCGTTTTCTTGCTTCCAGAATCCACCTCATTTAAACGGGACTGGACCATTGAAAGACACCCCAAGCAGTTCTGTGTCAAGTCCTAATGGAAATTCCAATGTTAACAGAGCTAGTCCTGTTAATGCTTCAACTTCTGTTCAGAACTGGTCAGTTAACAGGTCCTCAGTTATTCCAGAACATCCCAAGAAACAAAAAATCACGATCAGTATTCACAACAAATTGCCTGTCCGCCAAGGTCAGTCTCAGTCTAACCTTCACAGCAGTTCTTTGGAGAACACTAACAAGCCTGTTCCCTCTTCTACCATTACCAATTCTTCTGCAATACAATCTACCTCGAATGCATCTACGATGTCAGTTTCTAGTAAAGTAACAAAACCCATTACTACGAGTGAATCCTGTTCCACACCAGTAATGAACGGCAAGTCCAAGCTGAACTCCAGTGTGTTGGTCCCCTATGGCGCCGAGTCCTCTGAAGAGTCTGATGAGGAATCAAAGGGACTGGGCAAGGAGAACGGTATCGGTACAACTGAGAGTGCTCACTCTTCTGGGCAAGAGGCCGAAGATGATGAAGCCTCTCAGCATGAGCTCCAAGAACCTGTTACTCTAAATGGTGCTACTAGTACAGACAGTGACCCAAAGGAAAACGGTCTCTTGTTTGATGATGCCAGCTGCCATGTCCAGCCTGCTCTGCACTCAGAAAATCCTTTTTCTAGGGCAAATGGACTCCCCGGGAAGGTGAGTGAAGGTTGGGGGAACAAGGACCTTGCTTTGAGGCTCATTTATGGCAGTTCACTTGGTTAGTTGGCAACTAATTTTGAAAGACCTTTGTGTTTTGTTTTAGTTGATGCCTGCTCCATTACCATCTCTCCCAGAAGACAAAATTTTAGAGACCTTCAAACTTAGCAACAAAGTGAAAGTTTCTACAGATGAAACAAGGTAAAACAAGAAAAAAATGAGGAGGAAGCAAATCTGCATAGTAAATCCAATAGTGCCTATGGCTCTGTCAGTATTTTAACTTTGTGGAAGTCCTACAGTGAATATTTTGAATCCTGTAATGATTTGGATAATAATCTATGGAATTTGTGAATTTGCCTTTTAGAGAAGTAAAGAAAAACTTAAATATATAGGACTGATAGTCCATGGAAACTTGACATGTTCAGCTGACATTTTGTTCTCCTGCTCAGCCTCTTCTCTCTGGTCAGCAATGTTACTGGCAAACTTCTGACGCTAAGACCATACCCTGTCTCGTTGAATCTTTTTAATGATGAGCAAGTATGTGAAGATGTATTAAGAGTATAACATGGGTTCTCAGCTCTGTCAAGTGGCAAATATTTTGTAATGGCCCCACTAGAATTCTTTTTGAAATTTAATTTATAGATAATAAAACCTGCCCCCATCCTTACTTTCTTAAAAATCAGTATATTGACTTAAATGTGTAATGTAACTCAGGAATGAAAGGATAGGAATTTATGACACAATGATAGCTGTTTCAATATGTAAAGAACTAGGCAAGTCTGTGCTTCGGCAGAACACATTGATGCAGTTGGTGATGGCATTTGTGCACAGGCCTCTGTGAGCCCAATAGTTTAGAATTTTGCCTGTTGTTGGCATGCTTAATTCCAATGTTAGTTTGCCATTTAGGGATATCACGTTCTCGTGTGAACAATTTTTGGTGCAGTTCTGACCAGAATACAATATAGGCCATCTCTAGATTCTTATAGTAGTTGCATTCCTAGAAAATGTAATGTCTGTGAAAACCACTAATAATATCATAATGGGAGCTTTCACCCTGGGAATAGCTACCCATGTGGGAGGTAGTATGTGCTCACGTGTGGGTCTCCACCTGTTCCAACCAGTCACTCTTATATGGGGAGTACAACCTTCTCCCACCCCAGAGTGTTAGTAGAATCCCCCATCGTTATGTAGCTCCAAAGTGCCCCTGGTGGTAAGGAGTACCTTCATTGAGAACTTCTGTTAAGAACTTTTTTCTTGGGACCAGCAGTTAGTGTAATGGCTGTGTCACTGGACTCCATGTAGTTGACCACGGTTCGGTTTCCGGACCCAGTGGCTTAAACCACGCCAGGTGCATGTGCGTGCGTGCCCTGGCGTGGTTTAAGCCAGGGTGCATCCTGGCCATCCCCCATGGGGGGTGATTTCTCGCTTTCTCTTTCTCTGTCTCCCTCTGCCTTTCTGGTGAGCACACACGCCCTATAGCAAAAAACCTCTTAAAAAAAGAAAAAAGTTCTTTTTTTTTAAGATTTTTGCTATAGGGTGCATGGGCTTGCCAGAGAGAGAGAGAGAGAGGAAGAGTAAAAGAAATTACCCCTGGAAGGATGGCCAGTTTTGTCCTTCTTTCTTTTAGATTCTCCTCTTGGGATTTTGAGTACCCATGCACATGCGCCCAGTGTGATTTTTTAAGCTGCCAAATCTAGGACTTGAATTGCAGTTGGCCATGTGGGAATCCAGTGCCATGCTACCTGCTGGCACCCTATTAGGCATTATTAAAAAGGAATGTGTTAGGGGCTTGCAGGTGGTGTGATTAAGGGTGCTGGACTCCCACATGGCTGACTGTGGTTTGAGTATTGGGCCTAGTGGCTTGCTTTCTCACTTTTCTTCTCTTTCTCTCACTTTTAAAAAAAAGGAATGTGTTAAATCCTGTGGGTCATGAATACTCATTCCCAATTTACCTTAAAGAGATTAGCTTGGCTACCTAGCAAAAGCATGGTGACTTTCCTCTTGTTTCTTTCCTAATCTGTCTCAGTGATCCCCAAATCTAAAGTGCATGAGAATGATCACAGATTGTGTGTAAATGCAGCCACATCTGTGCTGTGACCAAGCACATGCTGCTCTACATGCTGATCTGAGAATCCCCCTCCACATCTAGGTGTTGACCCTGTATCTGTTACCTTCCCTAGGTATGTTCTCTCTAAGAACTAGAGACCTCTGTTGGTTTTTTATTGTTTCCTGGCAGCTTTCATTACACTTGAGAATATATCCAAAGCTCTATAGTGGGCCAGCAGGTGGTGTGGTGTTTGGGGCTCTGGACCCCCATATGGCTGACTGCAAATTTGAGCCCTGGACCTGGCGTCTTGAGGATCACACTGAGTGTGTGTGCTTGCATGCCCCAAATCCTGAGAATGGAGGAGAGGGGATTGCAGAGAGGCTATACCCCAGGGGAGTGATTTCTCACTTTTCCTCTGTCTGTCTGTTAACTCTATAGCAATTAAGGGCAAAGTTAATTTACTGTGGAAAGTTTTTTCTAAAGTCTCAGGGATTCCTCACAATTTATGAGTAATTCAAGGATTTATTGGCCTTGTTTGGAAGTAGCTACTCTACTTCTGAGGCTCCAAGAGAAATTTAGAAAAAATAGATCCAAAAGAAAACTGAGAGGCCCTATCATTATTCAACTTCTTAATTTAGAGTGAGTAAGTAAGAAGAATTAGAGGGGCTGGATGATGGCATACGGTGAAACACGATACTCTGCAAGGCTAAACCACATGAGAAGGTTGTCAGTTCACATCCAGAGACCTTCCTGAGAATGCCAGGCACATATTTGCCCATGACCTGGCTGTAGCAGGAGGCAGATCGTGGCATCAGGACTCTTTTGGGGATGATAAATTTCTGTCTCTCACTCATGGAATAACGAACTTTAAAAAAAAATTAGAAATGTATCTAGAAATAGGAAGAGCCTAGAAATATAGAAGTATTACTGCCAACAAGTAGGAGTTAGATTTGATGTACAATTTTATTTTTATTTAATGAGCGAAAGAAAATTTGAAGTTTCCAGAGGTGACAAATCTGATGCTAGGATTTAACCTGATATACTTAACAATGTAAAGTATTTAGTAAATGAATTTCTGTATTTGACCCTGTAATCCAATGACAGAAACCTGTAAAGCAGTCAGGCTAACTGTCACTTTGTCTTTTTTTTTTGGTGGGGGCTACAGTACAACCAGAGCAGAAGAGAATCCTCCAGCGGACCATGACACAGACCCTGAGGCTGGCAGCACTGTTGTGGATTCCCACGAGAAAACAGAGACAACCACAAGTCTTAGCAGCAAATTAAAGAAGGCTTTGCCGCCCTCTGAGCCTGGCATAAACTCTACCAAAGAAGAAGTCTCTGAAAACGTTTCTGCCAACACTGATGAGTCTTTGCCTAATATCAATAATCTTTGTCACACTGATAAAAATACCATAGGGGATGATGAGCTTTCTAAACTTTGCGACCCTGGGAGTTTAACCAGCGAGCCGAGCAAACCATCCCAAGATGTTAAAGGGACGTTAGTTGAGAATCCACAGGACTTGACTTCAGTGGAAACAACAGATGAGTTGAGCCCAACTCCCTCCATTCATCCTGAAGATGGATGTGAGCATAAACTCTTAGTTTACCTTAGTCGAGAGAGGTGCAAAGATGCAGAGGACCTTTCTGGAAGCATAGGCGTGTCTGCAGATGAGCCACCCTCTCTGCAGTTGGACAGGACCACAGGAACTCACTTGGAAGAAGGCACTGAACAAAGTAACGGTGAGAGATATGACGAAAGCAGGGCTGGGCAAAAAGCTCAGGATCATTCTCCAGTTAAGGAAAAAATCAGTAGCCTTAGAAAAGTTGATCGAGGACATTATCGTAATCGAAGAGACCGTTCCTCAAGTGGAGAACATGCACGGGAAAGTAGGAGCAAAACTGAGGACCGTTATCACAAAAAGCGACGCTCCTATGTCAGAGAGCGGGCTAAGCAGGATGGTCATCTGGCTGAGCACTGCAGTGGAAGTCAGCTCCACCCTTGTCACCGTGAGAGAGCCAGTCCTGGGGAGCGCCACTCTTTGGGTAGGTACAGCCATCACCACTCCCGAAATCGGAGTGGATCAGAGCAGGACTGGAGCAGATATCACCATTCGGAAAGTGAACATGCTTGGGGCCGGGAGAAATACTACCTGGAGAAGATGAGATGGGACAAATGCAGGTATTATCACGACAGGTATGCTCCTTATGCAGCTAGGGAGGTCCGGGAGTGGAAGCCCTTCCATGGTGGCCGTGAACACGACCGAGTAGGGCAGTATAACAACCGGTCCTACAAGGACTACTACATAGGTAGGAAGGGCTACGAGCTGGCCTCTAAGGAGAAGGAGCGGCACCACTTCAGCAGTCTCCGAGTGGGCCCTGCCCACACCTTCCCTCTGTACCCCGAGAAGTACCCCCAGGAGCAGATGATACTTGCAGCTGAAGACCACAGCTGTAACCTCCCTGATCGGTTTCATGACCATGAAAATGCAAAGTCACGGAAACGAAGATACAACAGCTTTGAAAATAATGACGGTTACTTGGAAAAGAAAGCCCAGAGAAGCTTACAAAAGGATCTTTTAGAAGAACCTAGAATGAAGAAACACAAAAAATCAAAGAAGAAAAAGAAATCCAAAGACAAACACCGTGATCGAGAGTCCAGGTGAGGGCAGGGGCCTTGTGAGCCACAGCCATGGGCAAGAGCTTGCACTGTGCCCCACAGACATTTCTAGTCAGTTCATGGTTTTACCTGAGAACTTGAGTTAGGAACAAGTGAAGGGTCATAGCGTAGTCTTATGAGTTGATTTGTAGTTTTCATCTCTTAATGGATTTTGAGATTTCACTGTTTTTATACATTTCTATAACAGTTGTGCTTATAAGCTGTTTCTTATTTCATGGTATCATAAAATGCCTGACATCATCATTTTTCAAAGTGACACTGTCATTTTTTAGCTAATGCTTTGAAACTTTTTTAGGAGTAAGTACAGTATTTTGTAAACTTGGGAGTTTCTGACTTCAGAATTGGTGTTGATGTTACTTTTCAGATATAGTTGTATTTTCCTATCCATTACATTTTCTTCAAATTCAGTGACTATGAGAGGCCACAGTTCTTTTGCCCTTTGCCCTCCTGAAGTGGGGATCTGAGATGGATCATTTGTTTCCTGTCCTTTGTCTATTTTTCTGTCTCTCTTTCTTGATTTGCAATCTAATTGAGAAATTTGTGTTTGTAATTTTTTTTAATTATTTAATTTTATTTTATTTATTCATTCATTTATTTTAATTTGACCAGAGAGAGAGAAAGAGAGAGAGAGAGAGAGAGAGAAAGTGTGAAAGCAAGCTGCCAGATCCAGGACTTGAACCATGGTCAGCCATGTGGAAGTGTCCAGCACCTTAACCACCATGCCACCTGCTGGTCCCAGTGTTTGTATTTTTTTAAATGGTTTTTGCCATAAGGCACATGTACTCCACTGGAGAGAGACAGCCAGTAAGAAGAAAAGTGAGAAATCACTCCCCAGGAGGGATAGCCATGCTATAATCCCCTCTCCTCCAGTCTCCTGGGTCTTTTGGCATGCACGCATACGTGCCCAGTGTGATTTTCAAGCTGCTGTGGTCGCCCATGTGGGAGTCTAGTGCCTTACCTTAGCATGCTACCTGCTGGCCCCTTATGTTTGTATTTTTAAGGAGTTAGCATTGATTGGTGATTTTCTTTAAACTGACTGAAACGGACTTGACATTTATCTGTGATGAGATGGATGAACTGAATAGCATTATTATATATTTTAATTGACATCTTTTAAAATTCAAACTCTGGGAAAGACTATGAAAAGCCACATGGAAGAAGGTAGGCATTGGTTATTTGAGGGAAAATAAAATGATAAGATTTATTTTCTTCCATGTGCCTGAGATACCCATTGATAATACTTTCTCCCTCAGTGACAGGTTTCAGGAAGAGTCAGCAAAATCGTCCCTGCAGAGTTTTAGTCAACACCCTTTAGTTCTTGAACAGAGCTCAAGGCAGTGCTGGGGTATTCATGGTGGAGTTGAAGTTGGTGAATTTATAACCCCCTGGACTTAAGTATTACAGTGAAAGCAAATGACTTTTCTATTTCCAGTTTGCCAGAGGGCATGTACACTCACCAGAGAGAGAGAGAGAGAGAGAGAGAGAGAAAATACTCCCCAAAGGGGCACAGCCATGTTGCAATCCATCCTCCTCCATCTCTTCATCTCGCTGGGACCTTGGGCATGCATGCACAGATGCCCAGTGTATGTCTCAAATTGCTGAGGCCGGAAATCAAACCACTAGTCGGGCAACCATGTGGGATACAGCTCCCCCAACCGCTAGGGAATGGGGCTGGCCCAATAACATAATTTTAATCAGATCATTTTTTAAGAGAGATTTTTGCTATAG